TGGGAAAAGCATCATAAGGCACGGTGAGCATAATCAAATCATCAATCGGTTTATGTGGTTCTTGAGCCGTGCAACCAAAAACGAAGATATAATCCAAATTAAGTTTGGCAATCATTACCGAATAAGGCTTGGATTTTAATATTTCTGTTTGTAAGATAGTGGGATCTTAGTGAGACAAGACTAAGGCTAAGATATAAGCTATTGGGTTTCAGTACAAATTGGGTTCCATTGTAGAATTAAGTCTTCTGTGAATCGCATAACCAAAGTTCAATTAACACCACAGGCAGAGAAGGATTCTGAAATGTAATTTGTCAGAGCATGAATATGGCCGTTTATAATAAATCGAAATAACTAAGTAAAAATGAAATTATTCAACGTGCTACTGAAATAGTATATACTCACATATGTAAAATATTTTGGCCAGAATTAGTTTTACTTCTTGATGCAATTAGAGATGCATCAATTATATGATCTTTTCCGATAAGACCAATTCTGCTTACTAGGAGTTGGCTGGTTGCTTAGTGCTATGAACCAAGGGTTTCCTCCTTAAATTATCACATGCAAACTGCACATATGAATAATTCAATAAAAAAGTAAGAAATGAAGGAAATGTAATCGAATATAATCTAGTGAATCTCTTGGACTAATTATAGTTCATTAATTCCGAGCTGTTGTACGTATTTTGTGGCTTACAAAGGCTAGGATAATTATTTGCTTACAGTATACTACAGTTTAGGGTTGGTTACAGGAAAAAGATACTCCATGAATCCTTTGTGGGTAGTATTTTTACGAGTATTCAAAGATTACGGGAATTCCAAAGGGAAGCTTAAAAATGTTCTGCATTAAATTATTTGGAAAAGTATTCTTGGTTCATTTTAAGCCTCATAAATGACAGCCAACAGCCTCGATTAAAGGTTGCCAAGCTAACATATTATGTTTTAAGAATGGTAGCCAGTTAACAAGATACCTGTCACAGTAAAGGTAAAAGCTTAGTTATATCTGCTCAAAGCCGAATGCCGAGATACGCCATGCTATATGAATTGGCAATACCGATGAATTAGAAGGCCAGCCAATGATGCATATCAGCAAGTAGCTTTACTCAAACTCATAAAATAAAAATACCATAATGAA